ATGACTCTTAGACACTCATGTAGACGCATATTTTCAGTGAATACAGATAAATGGTGCCTAATTTCTCTTGTGAATATAATCTGATGTCGTTAATATTTTGATCATGCATAAAGGTTCTCGCCCCCTCCACTTCACTATGCAATAATCCAATTTTATTCGCTCTTTCATATTTCACCTATCTAATGAACATTCCTTCCAAATTCATACCGTTGATTCATATCGCACAATGTAAATAAAATAGTCTGATAATGAGGGTAATAACATTCTGCCGTTTACGGGCGAGCTTTTACAGCAGTTTAGGAATGTTGAGAAAATTTATTGGCAATCGTAGTGTTGGGCGTGTGATGACGGTGTATGTGACTATCATCTGACCATCATATCTGTACGCAAGTCTGAAGCCTTGTCTAAGACTGTGTCTTGTGTCAGTATCTGTGTCCTGTCACCGATCTGTCTCAAGTCGCTTCGTGTCTCAAGCGTTGACTGGTTTCCTTAGGCCGTATACCCTAAGGGGAGTTGAAACATATTCGTTCGCAACTAATGCAGTTTCTTCGTTCACTTTTTCGCTTGGTCGATCGCCGTTCAGAAATTGTCTTTTTGCCTGAATGAACACACAGATAGAAATGTAGATGCTTGCCTAAATGCGTCGATAAGTGATGAACAATAAAAAATATCAAAAGTGTACGCAACAGCATAAGTAAACATGGAAGCTGCCGATCTCCTATTCTATCTTACCAATCCAATAGCCTCATCGAGAATTTATAGGAATTCTAGAGCAGAGCAGCCTTAGTTGTAGATAGACGACGACATACATGTATGAAAAATGTACATGTTTTTACACAGATTCAACAAGCATGCACGCAGAAGAACGATACGCATAAAATCCATATAAAATCCACACTATTACTTTATTTTACTTCATATTACTGCTGTTGCTGTTAGACAAGTAAACTTATTTGTCTAGTGATGTGCTATTTGTTAGTACTTTTATGGTGCTTTATGGCGTTCTGTATCAAAATGAAGTAGTTTTAGGATGGATAAACATAAGAATTGAGTGTGTGATGAATTGCACTCACGTAGAGCAAGCATAACACTATGGCTAAACTGATGTTCACAAAATTTGATGTAGTACTTCATTTCGCATTTTTTGCTAGATAAATGAATTGCAATGCCGCAATGCGATGTGCCATCAAGAGCGATTCTAACTGCTATACTTTCATTTCATTGAGTGAGTGCTTTTGATGGCATTTCAGTGGCAGTTCAATCAATTTTTTGTTTGGACAATTTGTAGGAAATTTAAGAAACGAACAAAACCTGCTCGAAATTCGTGTTTGAGATAGGTGTGAAGCAAATTGTTTAATGATGCTCTTCAGGTATAGATCAAAGGTATTCGTATGTATGGAGTCATTTTTGATATTTGTGATTTATGACAAATGTTCTCTTTCCAATTGATTTATCACTTCGCATGAAAAGGTAACCGTTTTTTTTCAGTCCTGGAATCCAGGGATAGACAATCATTGTAATAGTATCATATATAATGGTGGAAACTTCATTGGTCAGGGGATTTAAATAAAACAATACGTGTATCTATCTTACGTGAGATATCGATGAGTAGAGCGAACATCTGAAGATTAGTTGTTTCCTCTCGAATGGAGCAGCTCACATTAAGGATTTTAAGTATTCAGAAACCAATTTCCGGACATATACCTGACTCAAAAAGTGTGTCGAAAAGAAACATAATCGTCATCAGTAGCGTCATAATCATGCATTTTGCATTGCCCTATGCGAATTGTCACGATTTTGCATGATATGATTGTTTGCACTTTATCCATACATATGCTTCTACTGTTATGATAGTTTGTTCGAGTTCATATTTCAAAACATTTTTAGTCAATCCTTCTTTACACACATTCATTCCAGTACGGTTGGGCAGTCTTTTGATAGGTGTTTCAAATGTGTCCTTATTTTAGCTTCGATCGATTGTTCTTTAGCCATATTCTTTCGNTCAGTCCTTCTTTCACATATTCATTCCAGTATGGTTGGGCAGTCTTTTGATAGGTGTTTCAAATGTGTCCTTATTTTAGCTTCGATCGATTGTTCTTTAGCCATATTCTTTCGACATCGGAAACGCACCTGGCTATCGAAAACCTAACTAATACTTACTTATGTTTAATGTTCGGAATGAAATGAAGGGTGATGAATTCAGGTTTGGTAACCACGAATCTGCACACTTGTTATGCGCTCGATTGAGTAAATGGAAAGGAAGTGAACACTTATTGCCCGCTTGATTGCCTACCCATTAAAGCTTATTATTCATTTGTCTCACTTCGGCCTCGTGAAAAAGCAATGTTTCAATGTGCTCCTTCCATTTAGTTTCTCATTGGTAAATCCATTCGGATTCTTTGAGAGTGTTCTTCTATTCTGTTCGTCACGAAGCGTCAGAATTCATTTCTCCTTTGCTGGGTTGCTGAACCAAAAAAGATATTAATACTTTTAAATGTTCATGGAAATGATAGAATGTTACATATGTGTTTGATGTTCTTGCATTGGATGAACTTCGTCAATATGTTGCCATAGGTTTTCATGCTCGATTTAACGTTGCCTTACTTCATTTCGAGTCATATCCACCGATAGATAGCACGAAAGAGTTTCACTTTCACTGATAATCTAGCTCGTTTCGTTGTTGGGCATCAAATAATTTCATTAAGCGGTGTTCAACATTAACGAGTTTAAACTTTTTAATATGTTTACCTGTTCCTTTACGTGGACTTCGTGGAAGAGACCGCTTTGAAGTTTGAGTATAATCTCATTAACAGTTTGAAATTTGAAGCATTAGCTTGTGGAATTGCTTACAATTAGAAATGAATTTAACGAAGTGTAATAAAATTGTTCCGAATGCCTCAGACTACGATATGCTTATATGCATCTGTGCATTGTCATCCTTTAGTGATATCAATGGTGGTAATTTGAAGTGCTTCTGAGAAATTTGAGGTGAGCAATGCCATAAAATCCCTGAATGATATCGGTTTTACTCAATTGGCTTTGAAAAGTGATTGAACAGTCGTAATTTGGAGTAATTCTGAGTTATTTGAGATGCTTGAATGAGTTTGTGGTTTGAGTTTGAAAGGTGTTTGAAGAATTCACGAATTAAATGTGCTTCATTTGAATCGTATTGTTCCATCATGCAGAAGCAATTATTATTGCTTTGAATGTGCATTGTTTGAATTTATTGTGAATGGCATGAAATTTAATGCCATTTTCGAGAATGTTCGTCAAATTCTCTTTCAGAATTTAGCTCTGGAATGCCTCAGATTCTATGGGATTTCATTCTTTGAATTCTAAGAATTTACTGTGTCAGACGTCGTCAGTTTGATTGTTTAACTCCACCTTCTCTTTAGTTTTTCATATCTGTCTGGTAATGGATGTCTACTGCTGCGCTGGATGTGGTTATTTCAGTCTGAAAATCCTTAGAGGCAACAATTTTTAGATTTCTTGGAAGTTTTGGGATTTCGATTTATATTCTTGAATTGCTACGTTTTCATGATAATTTCGGCAATAAATCAGCGAAGTTTCTGTTTTTCGGATAGACTATTCCCCAGAGGTACCAGTTTAAGCTAGGAACGATGTTTGTGTCAAGACGAGAGGGACAGTCAACACGTATACTTTTCTACTCTGGAGAAATCAAAAAATAAAAGGAACATAAAAAGCAGTAGTCAACCTTATCGATGGATGGGTTGTTCCAAGAAAGTTGTTCGCTCTTGACAAACAGCAGCAGTCTGCTGTCATATTCTACACTCAACAAATAAGTTTACGTCGCTGTTCCAGTTTCAGTGTCTGTATCAGTTACGAGTATGCCGTATTCCTTTGCTATGGTTGCGAATGGAATGATTGGAAAAAATTTGAAAAATGAGAAAAAAATTTTGTGTTCACCTTGAATTGCGCAATTAGATTATACCTTCCAGCAGAATTTATCGCACAGCATTCGTGCGTCGAATTATTTCTCGAATCTCACATTCGCTTCTCTCGAATTCGGAAATTTATTGAAATTTTCGCAAAATTGAAGGTTATTCTCCGAAGGAATGATAAGGATGTTTCGGATTAAGAGCACCGTTCTTATGATTAGACAAGCATCCGAATATTTCCGATGTCGTTGCACAGATCTCGCCATCCAGTCAGTTTAGGCCTAGCTTCGCTATTCGTCAACAAGCCAAATCCAAGTTTTGTTTTCTAATAGTTCAGCGAAAGGCTGGACTTTCGCGGAATGCGCTTGCATTGGAATATCCGAAAAATCCGAGAATATCATTGATTTTTCTTGATATCTTCTAGTGAAATTTCCTCCTTAGGCCGAACGGTTGCAACTCCGTTGACTTGATGTGTCTTATCGTTAAGCACTTTTTGAGTTTGCATCGAATTAAAGGAAATGGCCAAGCGTTGTGCGCAGCCGTCATGTTCATCTGCGACCGGTTCTGGCGTTCCGGGTCCATCGCATATGACCCTAAGTCCTCGAGAACAATTCGCCAGTCATATGCCACGCTTACTGAACCGTCAAGGTGAACCGCTCATCGAAACCGTTTCACGTACTGCTCGTGTGCCACCTCCGAAGATATTACCGTCTGCTGTTAGACGTGCTGATAGCTTTACCACTGCACCTGGCATGCAGGTATGTACTTTCTAATTATTGAATTTTCTGAGAGTAATTCAATTTTCCCCATGATTAATTTCATTTGGTACGACCTTCAATCTCAATTCAGTTCAATCTGAAATTCAATTTGTTCGAGTTAATTTGCTTCATTTCATTCGCTATTGAAATGAGTTCAATATCTACCTGATTATGCTATTCACCAGTTAGTGCCCATTGTATTTGCTGAAAGCATAATAAATGAATTCACGCAAATTCGTTTAGAAATTGGACTCAAAAAATTCCAATTCATTTATCAGTATTTGTTCTATTGCTAGCATGAGGGATCGTGTTACATCGAATGGATGTGTCACTTACTTTAGTCGACAGCAATCAAATTTTTTATTTGAATTTCAACTAATAACTATCTTAAAAAAGTTTCAGTTAGGATCTCTTCAATCAACATCGAATTCATCAAATTTTCTGAATTTTGAAATCATAACTTCCCTAATTTTCAGTCGTTTCCCTCTTACGCCTACTCAATGCCTCGTTCACGAACCTCACAAACTGCTGCCGCCGGCATGGCCGTCCCATCAATGAGTATTGCACAGCCACAGCCTCAAATGCCCATTCCTATTGGCATGCCCGGTGCCGCAGGTCCAGGTCCGGGTGTCTCGGGCTATGCTCAGCAAATGCCATACTCGACCGCTAGCGCTATGGGTGCACTTCAGGGAATGGGACCATCCGGGATGATCGGCTCGATGTACGCGGCTCAACAACAGCCACCACCACAGCAAATGCAGCAACCACAACAACGCCCTATAATGCCAACGCTTCCTGGTCAACAACGCTCGATGAGCGATGTGGTTGGATACACTTCGATGCATCGATCACTATGCTCACCGCTAATGGAACATAAACCAAGTCTTCCTTTACCCATACAAGGAGTGCTTAGGCAAACATCCGCCGCAACAGCGCCGCTAACCACTGCCGCAACTATTTGCGGTACCGGGGTCCCGTCATCATGGCAACAACCGCAATTTGAAGGTGGAATCCCTGGAGGTTTGGCGGCTGCACAAGGCACTTCTGCATCATCGAGCGCCTATAAGAGTAATTCATTGCCAAGACGGCGAGCAATATCTGGAATGGCACCTAGATCAGTGAAGTGGCGCAACGATGTGATTGGAGGAGTACATTGTGGGTCTTCGATAAACTTTTCTGAACTTCCATTCGAAATTCTCCGTTTTTTCAAATGATTCGTTGATATGCAGGAAAATATTGAGCATCGCTTGAAATCTCCCAGATTTCGTAAATTTTCTTCGCAGAAAGTTTAATTCGTAACTTTCGTAACTTCACTCACGAATCCATTCGATAGTATTCCTCGGAAAGTTTGTTGCTTTAAAGTTGCCCTTCACATTCTGTTATCAGCACATTTCAGCTGTTGACGTTGACTCGGATGGTGCTATATCTGCGCCTGAAATGGCAATGTCACCGACTTTTACGAACTCTTACCTAGCACAAAGGGGTTCGTGATAGAGTTGTTCAGCTGTTTCATATTCCCGTTGTGTGCCCGAATTTTCAGTCAACTATACTCGTATTTCATGAGAATGAAAAGAAAAAGTGATACAATCCTCAGTTATGAAATCTAACTTTCAAACATTTTTGTTTTCTAACTTTTGTAATTATCTTACGACACCTCATGGCAATGATACGCTGTGACCGTTGGCGGAGAAATCACCAAAAAAATGGATTCGTTTCGAACTTAAATTTCCAGTGGAAATTTTGCATCAGACTGATCACTGCATATAATACTGATAAAATGGCTGAGATTATCGATGTTCTTCAAGGATTACCGATTACCACTGTCGGAGTATGAAACTAAAGTTTTTAGAAGCTCGCACTCGTTTCACTGGTCCAGTCCATGGGCGCACAATTGATGATATCTTCTCGGCACAAGAATATCGCAATTGGGCCACGATTGATTCAGGTGTTCAACCGTACGAGAGGCAGTCGCGATGGTCACACGCCTATGGTGATCGACCGCCCGGTGCTTCTATTCGAAGTTCATCGTTACCGTCGCGAGCTATCCTATCACAGGTGCACAATCTGTGAAAAATTCACTCGAATATAAATATCTCTAATGTACAATAACAGATAATTAGATAATAAATAGCCTGGCTGAGGCTATTTATTATCTGATTATCTGTATCATAGCCTAGCTGAGGTTCATAACATTAATGATATTAGTACACCACTCGGTTTCGAGCAAAACTTTCCCGTTCGCGGAAGAATTTTTTGCTCGAAACCGAGTGGTGTACCAATATCTCTAATGCATTGTCTAGTGCACGGATCGAAAAACTTCACAAGCGTAGCAGGCCAAATTAAAAATCTGCAATTGCCATGGTGTTCATATAGAGTTGAAAACTGTTCTGAAAGTCATGAAAAAGGTGGCTCGGATATGAGTCTGTTACTATGATCGCAATTGTGCAAGTATTTCCAATATCAAAGTGAAATGACCACCTTCTTCGTTCAGATTGGTCGTTTCTCAGTAGGTCACGAACGCGGTGATGTTCTTGATCGTTTACACGTATCACCGCTTATGAATCGACGGGTACCACTACGTGCTGCAGGACCTGGTTTTGATGTGGACACTTTAAACGTGACCTCGTTAACTGGGATTCTTGTCGTACAGGTTCGTAATGTCAGCTTCATAAGATAAGATATTGGTAACATGCTTAAGATATTGATTACGCTCACAATAATTTGCACTGCTAATGATATCAATTATAGAAACATTGACGTGATTGATAAGTATGATCGTAGCGTCACTATATGTTACACATATGAACAGCTACTCTGTTTATTCAACCATGGAAAGTTTTGAAGCGTAATCTGTTTGCATAGAATACGTAGGAAAAATTTTTGTCTCGAAATTCAGATTGTGGAAGGTCGTGGCCTAAAGATGCCAGAACGTCAGAAGGCATTCACCGAGGAGATGTATTGTGTGTTAGAAGTGAATGAGGTGCATCGAGCACGTACTGGCGTTTCGACAGCAGACCAGAAGTTCAGATGGCGAGAAACGTTCGAGATCGATGTTCTGCACGCAACTCACACGCATTTCTTTGTCTATTCATGGCATCCACAATTCAGACATAAACTTTGTCATAAAGGATCGTTGAAATTGCTCGAAGCGTTCATTGTTGATCGTTTGAATGGTGATCGTATGTTTGCGCTGAATCTCGAACCAAAAGGCCAACTTATTGTTCGAATCGCATTCCACAATATGGCTGTCGTATTCAGACGGACCGTTAATTGCAGGTTATTGGCCATTCAAATTGTTCATTCTATTGTTTTTCGCAGCAAAATCCTTATCCGAATTGGCTCATTATTCCTAATGACCAAACGCAATCCGCAAATGTTTCGAATGACACAAATAAAACTTTAGTAACGTCATAAAATAGTTCAGATACGATGGTCTGTTTGGTGTACCTCTGCAGCGTTTGGTAGCGAGGGATCGTCGGGAAACACCGTTGATCTTAGCACGTTTGATACAAGAAATTGAACAGCGTGGACTTGATTATTCAGGACTCTATATATGTCAGTACAAAGTGTTTTGTTGAATTCTTGTTTTCGGAGTAGATTTTGCTGCACTGCATAAGATAGCCAGCTCCACTGCTAAAAAGCCAGCCAATCTTAGTCGTTCACCTGGCAAAAAAACTCCATTCTCAGTTCGTCTTCGCATGAAACTGTTCTCACTTCTCACGGAAGATCATTGAATTTGAAACTTTCATCACTTCACAGCATCTGAAAGCTTATTGTCATCGTGAACAAGGGGCCGTACTAGAAATAATAAATCATTGTTAGGAGATTATGATGATGTCGGCGAGAAACTGCACGAGAAATCAGTTCACCTGAAAAAATTTTCAGTATGTGGTTCAGTTGAGAAGAAACGTCTATTACGCGAGGAATTGGAGGCTAGTGTGGAGCGAACAGAGTTGACGGTTGAAGCCATTCCCGATACTAATGTGCTCACCTGCTTGGTAAAGGATTTTCTGCGTGAGCTACCTGAGCCATTAGTGCCAACATCGATCTACAGTATGTTGGTTGAAGCATTCGCGGTGGCATTACCAAACGATCCACAGGGCAATCGTCAACTCTTGCTTAGGGTTATCGACTGCTTACCCACACCGAATAAGGTGAGCAAATAGACTGCGCCGTTCCACTTAAGTATTGCAGATATTCGATGCATTCAACTTTTGAAGGCATAGATTTTGATCAATAATGAAGCAGGTTTGAATATTTTGTAGTGATTAAGTGCGCAAACTCATTCCAAAAGTTGGCGAATGTGAAGGATTTGCTTCAAGCGTAGACTACGCTCTGGACTTAAGGAATAATTAAAGTTCGAAATTATTCATAAACTCTGATTCAAGCTTACAATTAGCTTTTTAAGTCATAATACCCGAACAGGTCATGCTAATATACGGTCTTTTCGTGGATAAAATGTTCAGTAGACCGAAGATGAAAAACATTTGAAAGTTACTTATTCTCACAAGACGATAGAACTTTAACAGTGAAACAGTTAGTTGTGACATCGATAGCTCATCATTCCAACTTGTAGAACACTCTCATTCTCGTAATGGATCATCTGAAAAGTGTTTTAAACTCGGAGCCACATAACGGTGTTACGACCACTCGATTGACGTCTCTTTTTGGATGTGTCATATTTTGTTCACTGGACGCTCCATCCGAGGCTACACCCAGTTCGTATCCGCCCAAAGAGGTGCTCAATCCGGCGGATCCGGATCAAGCGGCCAAAACACTCGCTATGCTACTCGACATTTGGCCTAGCAGAGTCAGTAAGTCTGCACCTGCATTTTATCCTCTTTCTCTGTTTCATCTTTCAATTTCTAAATGATCACAACAAATTTTTTTTTAGAATATATTGAAAAGATTTCTACCGTCTGATATCAAATTTCTTCTTTGTTACAATGTAAATAGAAAATAGTTCAGGAAGACTTTGCGATAAATGGGCATTATTGGTGAGATTTTAAGGGAGGAGTAGGAAGTCTGTTAAAATGAGTACTGATCAGTGCTTTATGTGTGAACAGTTTATCGAAAGACCACTACCGCGCTCCATTTTCTGAAACTTCTCTCAATCATTCTGATCGTTTCTTAATGATTCGTTGGATAAAACTGAAATCCGAGAAATGCACTCCACTCAATTGATTGTGATTTTCAGATGGGAGCGAGAGCAGTGGTTCAGAGAGTACCGATCAGGCGACCGCCACGAATCAGGTATCGGAATCTCAGTGTTGAATGAGATCAACCATCTGGAATATTACCGTTAAACCACTGCCGTATATGTCTCGTGTCTCTTCATTCGTTCGTTTGTTCACTCATTCGTTCATTTCTCGCGTATTTACTGCTGCTGTACTGCCTGACTGAGGCCTATTCACTGAATGAAAAACTCAAATGGTGCCAAAATTGCTCTCATTTTTTTGTTTCATTTTCAATTTATAACTCATCTTATGTTGCATTTGTTGTTTATTCCTTTTTTTGCTTTGAATTTGTGATCGAACTCCGATTGAAACGATTTATCACGCTGATTGATCTCATCAATGGTATTGTTTATCGTCGAATGATATTGTCCTCCTTCAAACAATTCGTTATTTATTTATTTATTTGTTGGTTTGTTTATTCCAACCGTTGTTTACTTTATGTCCAAATCATTATTCTTCTTCGTTCAACAAATGTTTTTGTCACTTTGAACCTCCATTGCCAAGCGTGCGTAGTATACGAACACTGATGAGCAAAAAGTATGCTACGTATTAGATAGAACATAAATAAATTAATTGATTAACGATACATTCGAATATTCTTGTACAACACAACATGCCCGCATTGTACATGCATGCTCACTTACGAGGAAAGGTCGCGAACTTACCTCGCCATTCGGGATGAGACATATATCGCTTTGTAGAGCTCATGCAGCTGATCATGGATCCGCAAATAATTTTTGCTGCGGACAAGGGGACGCGAGATATGGCGAAAAAAAGATTTTCAGTGATTTGAAAAAACGTTCTGAATTTCTTTCCATCCAGCATCGACGGCCTGGCCTGGCGGATGGTGCGCTAGACGTAAGAGTGGATGACCAAAGGCTTGGACCCTCATAATCGAATTATTTTTTTCTCATCCATCTGTAGCACGTTGAAGCTACGGTGATGTTTTGCTGCCCTCAATGCATATTATACATTACTATAGAAAAATGGGTACATTCAAGCCTACCGTCTTCTCAAGTTTGCCCGGAAACATATTCAAGTTTGTACATCATTCGACTGAGCAGAATCTCTG